GTCGCTCTTGTCAACTTTTTTTCATTCTGTGCGCCTGTGCCACTGCTTCGATGGAGGTGCCGACAAGCAACTTTGCGTCGGTTGCCAACACGTGTCCCCCTGTTTTCTTTTGCTTTTATTTTTCCCTCCGTTGCTTTTGTTCGTTTTTGATTGCTTTTGTGTGTTGCGGGCGCTCCGCCGCGGTGGCGGGCGCGATGACTCTGCCTTTGGCGGGGGCGGCCGTGTCGACACCTCCAGTGTGTTGGAATGCCGCACTGCCGCCCCAGCTCCCACTAGTCTTCTCCTGCGCTTCCTTTGCCTTTTCTTTGCGCATATGCAGGCACACACACGCACAAACGCACGATAAGTCTAAACTGCAGGGCACGTGCATGGTCGTTTCGTGGTCGGTGCTGGCGGTTACATGTGCGGCTTTCTCCTGTGCCAGTGGCTGCGTGGACTCGGAGGGCCGCCATCTTTGTGTTATTTCTCTCTGCTCTCTTTCTACCTCTTGTTCACTCCTTTTCTCTTGCTTTCTTCGCCGCCACCTGAAGAATTTGGCTCACTGCTCCCAGCGACTCGACTGCCAATATTTTTACTGATGGCGATGACGCTGACGGTGCGGCGCCGTGCGGTGTGCGCCCTGGCGCTCCTCGCGCTGCTCTGCGCCTGCTGCTGCCCCCCCGCGTGCGTCGCGGCGGCCGAGAAGGAGGTGGATGTGCCGGTGGAAGTCTCGTGTGCGGACGCTGCCAGAAAGGTAAGTTGGCGTGTCCCCGGCGAGAGCGCCTGGCAGAAGTGCGCCATCACTGTGGATGAGTCTTTCACTATGAGTGGAGCCATTTACGACGAGAATGACTCCCTCTGCGCCTGGGCCGGGACTCAGTACGACTCCGCCACGTTGCCCAGCGGTCGCTGCTCTGCAGCCGCGGCGCAAGAATTGCTTGCCTTCACGTTGCACTGCAAGACGAAGGAGAGCAGTGGGGTGTACAGGCGGTGGCTGTTTGTGAACAAATCCCCGGGCGCGCCGGCGACGGACCCGAGCGGCGACACCCTTGGCGTTTTACACAGCTGCAACGCACGTGCGCCGGGCGGAGGCGCGCCCGAAGAGAAGCCGGAATCACCTCCCACGGAGGTCGAGCCACCAGCGGGCCCCGGCGAGAAGCCAAACGGCGGCAACGCTGAGGAAGGCGAAAAAAATAACACGGCCGGCGGTGACGTCGCCACGGTGTGCATGCGCACCGCTTCGCTGCTGCTGCTCGTGGCGGCCCTCGCCGCCCACGGCGCGTGGTGAGGAGCCACCTCGCACGCTGTGCGTCTCACGGGCCGCCCAAATGTAGGACGGGGGCGCGGGCACCACGAAGCACAAATTTGATGCGTCGCCCTGCGGTAGGACAGTCGTTTCTTTTTTTTTTTCTCTGTGTGGGCCATAAATTTATACAAGTGGCCAATGAACACACGCCCTGTTGAGGCAACTTCTCTCTTGATTTTTTGTTTGCTTGTTTTGTTGATTTCGTGCTTCCTTTTTCAATACTGCGAGTCCTTTGTTTTGTCTATATGCCTGCCCTCTCCTTGGGGCAGGTACGGCAGTCCCTTCTGTGCTGACTGCTTTTTCTTCTTGTATACGCCCATACGCCTGTTGTGCGACGCCGGGGACCGTGGGCGTCCGCGCACCGCTCGCCCCTGTCGCTCGCAGGTCGCCGTCGCCAAAGTAAAGCGGCGGGAGGCACAGCACCGCGCTGAAGTGCCCTGCCGAGCGTGAATGAGCGGTGTGGGCGCGGGGAGCCTCAGACGGATGCAAGAGATGTGCCTTGTTTTCCGCAGGCGAACTATACAATCTGTTTTGTGAGCTCACGCGCCGATACGATTTTTTTTTGTCTTTTGTTTTTTCCTTTCTTTTCTTTTGTTTCCTTTTTTTTTTATGGGTGTGACGGAACTTTGTGGAGGAGAAATTTTGTTTTTCATCTTTCTTCATTATACTTCCCGTGGACTGCCGCTGCGTGGGCCGCGCTGCGGTCTCTGGCCTGAGTTGTGCCCTGCCTGTTCCGCCCCGCATCCCTGCTGTGCCTGCGCGTGTGCTCTCGCATGCCTTCCTGCTCTTCCCTTTTCTTTCCGTTGCGCGTCTGCAGGCACACACGCAACTGCGTGAGCGCGGGGCTCCTCTCTTGCTCGGCGCTGCCGCTGCCGTTTCCTTCCGTGGCCGCGCAAGTGGAGAAGGGGGACATGCAAAGGGAGGGGAGCGCGCCCCGTGGCTGACTCCCGCTTTCTCTTTTACTCGGGTGCGGCGGTGCGCTGCCTGTGGTGGTGCTGCTGTGCGTGGCGTCGTGTCCCGTGCGCTGTGTGGAGAGGCTGTGCGGTGCGGGTGCCGCGGCATTTGGGCGGCGGCGGGCGCACCTTCCGTGCGTGTGTATTTGTGCGGCGCTGTGGATGTTCGCGCTGCGAGGCCGTTTCGGGCGGCTGTGGGCCACTGCGCTTCTTTGTTTAGTCGTGCGTGTGTTCTCCCGTTGCGCGCACTCGGCGGGCT